AGATCTTGATACCAAGGATGTAGGCTGCTTCTACTAAATCCTTCATGGAGAAGCACTTGGATAACCAAGTCTTTACCATCTGCAAGTTTAGTATATCATTCCCAATTAGTAGTACATCGTCAACATACAATATAAGGAATGCCACTGCACTCCCATTGAACTTCTTATAAACACAGGGCTCATCTTTATTTTTTATGAAAACGAATTCTTTAACAACTTCATCACAACGAATATTCCAACTTCTTGATGTTCCTTATGTCCATATATGGAGCTTTGCAACTTGGATACCTTTTTTGCTTGTTCTTCAAGAACGAAACCATCAGGCTATGTCATATAGACATCCTCTTCAAGGTTTTTGTTCAGAAAAGTAGTTTTGACATCAATTTGCCAAATCTCAAAATCATGGTATGTAGCTATTACAAGCATTATCTGAATGGACTCTAGCATTGTTACAAGTGAAAAGGTTTCATCATAGTCTATGCCATGCTTTTGTTTGAAACCATTGGCAACCAGCGGTGCTTTATAGGTATGCACCTTACCTTCCATGTCTGTATTCTTCTTAAAGACCTAATTACAACCTATGGGTTTGACCCCTTCAGGTAATTCCACCAGAGACCATACTTGGTTCTTGTACATGGAGTCCATTTCAGATTTCATGGCCTCAAGCCATTTAACAAAATCTGGATCCAATATAGCTCCACCGTAGGTTCTAGCTTCGTCATCTTGATAAACCAATACGTCATCGTGCTGAGTCATTAGGAAACCATATCTCTCAGGCTCACAACATACTCTCTAAGACCTACGTAGCTCTTGTGTAATTTGAGATGATTCACTTTCTTCCACGACATGTGGGGTAACCTCCTGTTGATGTTCCTCCATTTCTGGTGGTACATCATTTTGTCCCTTATCTATTGTGTCAAGTGGGGTCTGAACTTCATTGAGTTCAACCTTTCTCCCACCAGTACTTCTTTGTAGAAAATCTTTTTCTAAAAGGACCCTAGTTTGAGCAACAAAGATTTTGCGTTCTTCTGGATGGTAGAAGTAGTATCTCATGGTCTCCCTAGGGTATCCCACAAAAACAATTTGTCAGATTTTTGGGCAAGCTTATTTGATGTCAATTTCTTGACATAAGCTTCACAGCCCCAAATTCTCAAATAAGACAATTTGGGCTTTTGCCCATTCAATAGCTCATATGGAGTCTTATTCATAGACTTGGATGGCACATAGTTCAATGTGTGAATCACAGTCTCTAGGGCCTAACACTAGAATGATGCGGGTAGATAAAAAAAGCTCATCATTGATCGAACCATGTCAAGTAAGGTTCTATTCCTCCTTTCAGATACACCATTATGCTAATGTGTATATGGAGGTGTGAGTTGTGATCCTATCCCACATTCCTTAAGGTACCCTCCAAACTCCAAGCTTAAGTATTCACCTTCTCGATCCGACCAAAGAGCTTTAATACTTTTACCAAGCTTGTTCTGTACTTCATTCCTGAATTCTTTGAACTTGTCAAATGATTCGGATTTATGTCTCATTAAATGGATATATCTATATCTAATGAAATCATCAATAAATGTGATGAAGTAGGAATATCCTCCTCTAGCTTGAACTATTAATGGTCCACATACATCACTAAGGATGATGCCTAACAGTTCTATAGATCTCTCACTATTACTAGTGAAAGGTGATTTGGTCATCTTGCCCAAAAAGCATGACTCACATACCTCATAAGATTGAAAATCAGATGGGTCCAAAACTCTATCCTTATGGAGTTTTGCTATTCGAGTTTGATTAACATGACTTAGCCTACAATGATAGAGAAATGTTTGGTTCAGATCGCCATGCTTGGCTTTCTTGTTTTCACGATTGAACATCTCTTTATTATCCATATCTATAACATATAAACCATTATGTAAACTAGAATTTCCATAATGAACATCATTCAAACTAAAAGACAACAATCCATTAGATATAACAAAATGATATCCAAAACCGTCCAAAGCAGACACGAAAATAATATTCTTTGAAACTGAAGGTACATAATAATAATCCGATAGTTCCAAGATAAGGCCCGAAGGCAACGATAAATGATAAACACCTAAGACTAATGCAACAACTCTAGCTTTATTGCCAACACATAGGTCCACCTTTCCCTGGTCAAGCGATCTACTATGCACAGTCCCTGCACATTATTACAAATGTGAGATCCACATCTAGTGTCAATAACCCAAGATGTAATAGGAGAAAGGTTAATTTCAATCATTAACATACCTTTAGGATAAGAAGCTCCAACAATTTTCTTCTTGCTTGCTAAGAAGGTATTATAGTGTTTCTTTTGTAGTGTTTCTTCCAGTGGCCAATTTCTCCACAATGGAAACGAACTGCCTTCCTATCCTAGATGTTTCCTCCCACTGACACATGAGCTAGTTCAACCTCAGGTTCAGCCTTAGCTTTGTCCTTGTCATCACTAGAGTTAGCATCAACTAGCATCAAAGTGTTTCACATATCCATGTCTAGCTCTATGGCCTCCAATACATCTAAAAGCTCAGGTAGGGTTTTATTCTGATTATTCTCAACAAAGTTTCGAATAAATTGAGAAAAAGTATCAGGTAGAAATTGCAAGACTAGGTTTATTGCTAAGCCATCACCAATAACACATCCCAAAACCTCAAAAGTCTCAACATACTCAATCATTTTGAGCTTATGAGGTCTAACTTTGGCACCCTCATCCATCTTGTAACTAGACAATTCACGTGACACCTTATACCTCTCATTTTGACGAAAAGTCAAGACTATGGTGAATAAATCCATGTTCTCACACTGCTTTTGCAGTTTTGGTATCATCGACAATAGCATGAGATACTTTACATGATTAATGTTAGTATCATGCAGACGTTGTGAATAAACGTCTCTTTCTTCTTGGGTGGAACCATCATCAAGCTCTAAGGCTTGCTCCATGGTATATAATTCACCCTTAGACTCAAGTACAGACTAAAAATGTTTATACCAGCCTATAAAATCATTATCATTAAATTGGTTCTCTTTTTCGATAAGCGATTGTAGTGATAGGTTGTTGGTTGTCATTTTGTGAGTCTACAAGTGCAAAATAAAGCGAGATAATATCATGTTATGATTTTAATTAATCAAGGTCTTTTAATTAATTAAACGCTCCCACTATTTTACTCAAGTTCTAATAGCCCTCACTATTAAACTTAGGAAGGCCCGCTGGTCTTCCTAGTGGGTCAAGATCCCATCAATTCCATTTTAAACCTTAGTTGATCAAAAAGCCAAAATGGGTTAAATTAGGTAGGGTAAACAAACTCAATTTATACCAATTAATGGCACCAACCATTAATCCTCAAATATAAATTGGACCACAAAACCAATTACACAATTCAATGGTACCAACCATCTTCCTCAAGTATAATTCTTGGATCAATATAGTAGACACTACATGTCAACTCATGCATCATTAGATTACACTTCTCTACTACGCCTTTAGTATGTTTTTAACCTTCGTTTTTTTTTTATCCAAAACTTACTAGTTAAGTCTTTACCCAACACAATTAAGGAAAAACTCCAATGCTACTTAGCCTCCCACTGGTAGAAATGCATCCTTCGTTGATCAAAAAGGTTACGACGAACAACAATTTGACTAGATCCATGGTGTTGGAAGGCGTAAATATAGACTTAATATCTTTTAAGATGGTTTTGTTTTGCTTTTGGTCTCATCATTTTATTATCTTTATTAACATGTTATATCCATAACATTCACCCTTAGCATGCCAACTAGCAATAAAGATAAATGTGTTGATGCATTGCCTTAACTAAACCAAATTCCTCGAGCCCAAAGGAATTTGTATTTCAACCTAGGTGATAATTATTACAAGAGGAATCTTCAATTTAAAAACCCACCTTCTTCAATCCAACGTTTCTTCTTCCTGATCATTACATTACATTAAAATGAATTCTAATTTAACTTTACATCAATAATTAGAAACCTCGATTTACATTCGAGGGGAGTGAGATGAAAGAAAGAAATTACAAGAGATTATAAAGAAAGGCAAGGCATGTAAACCCTTATTTAAATTGAAAATACAATCCTCAAATTAACTAGGTCTAAAGGAAAATGCAACCAACACCATGCAAATTCAATCACCGGAATATGCATTACAATCCTCAAATTAACTAGGTCTAAAGGAAAATGCAACCAACACCATGCAAATTCAATCACCGGAATATGCATAAATCAATCAATCAAAAATACAATTTTGATCACTTGGTAAATTTTGAATCACCCCTTGATTTCAATCCGTATTTTTAAACCCAACAAGTTGTAAACCTTTTAGTTTAGTCCCTTGCTATTGGGCCTCTCCAAATCGGGCTTTAGAACAGTTATAATATGCAGCAACACTTTGTACACTATTCTGGTCCAACATTAACGCGTGACAACATTAAAAACAGCCCAAAATGATGCCCACTAATACCTATGCGTTTGCTGTCCGTTACAACAATTTTATACGCGTCGATGCATATGTGCAACAACATTAAAGACTTGATAAACGTACACCAACATGCACTACTAGAAAAACCCTCTTTATTGACAATTAATAATTGTCAAGGGTGTTTCTTGACAATTCTTCACCTGTCATTGAAACCACTGTCAAAAAAAAGTAATGACCATTTTAGAACAGTCAAGAATTTTTAACCAAAAATTTAAAAAAAAAAAAAATTTGTTTTGAATAATAATAATAATCAAATTTTATTAATAATAATTTTTCATCCTTGATAGTCTTCAATCTGTCAAGAATTTTTTTGTAAGTATTTTTTTTTAATATTTTTATTTTGTAATTAGTTTATTTTTCATATTATTACCAATTAAATAATAGAATAATGCAATAAAATTCTTCATAATATTCTTCAACCAACAACAATTATCACAATTCATAAATAAATTTAAACATTCAATAATCTTTTAATTAATGTAGTAAATGAAATTCAACAAAAGTTTGATACATACTTTTTCCGTCATTGACGCTTTGATATCAATGAAACATCAATAACTGAAAAAAATTTGATACATACATTGCCCATTCTCCTCTAACTTCATTGACCCCCGCATCTGTGTATACTTCTTTCCCCAGGAACTATAAAAGATTAAACGTAGATAAGACTGCCTAAACATAAACACAAACAAACTATAAGAGGAAAAACAGCAAGCCAAAGTGATCGTTGCTCATAAACAGATGCCAAACACTAAAACTAAGTGAATTGCGTATCTACATTCTCACAGCTAAAACATGAGAATGATGGTCCCACTCTAACCCTCGGCGTACATATCAAGGCTTTTACCATTATAATGACTGAGTGCTCTGACATTACTGAAGTGATTCTCACAAGAATTATAAGCTTCTAAGTTTGATCCCAAAATTATTAACTCAGTTTCATATTCCCCATATTATCAGAAAAAATAATCCTTTTCATCTACATGAACATCCTAATTTGATTAGAATCTACCCACGTTAGAATTGGCAACATTAACCAGGTCCCTCAATGCAAAATGTTAGTTTCTGCACAAACTGCTATGTTGTCATTAATTAAATTATTAAAGTGTTATTTCTATCAAAATAATTACAATGGTATCATCTTAGTGCTTACCTCTTTTAAGGAAGGGATAAGCAAAACTGACAATGGCGCAGATGATGATGATGTTATTCTTGCACTATCTTAATCATCACTTGCTTGGTGTGATCTAGAAAATGCTCTTTGTGCATCAAAGTAGTCCCGGGAATCTCTGAGGTAGGAGCATTGTATCTCAGAAATTGGAATAATCAAACACATCCCGTTATGTGAGGCATAAACTAGCAGAAGTAAATGTTAGATTTACCTGGAAGAATCAGAGCTGCTTGCTATTTGCTCTCTTCTTCGATATTGCTCCCCATCATTATTGATCTTGCCCAGCCCTAATCTTTCCCTAGGATTCCCTTTCCTAAACCCACTCTGAATCGCAGCTTTTGCCTAAACAACGTATCAACCAATAATAGAAGCTTAATAACACCAAGCATGTCAACATTGTTTAAAAAAATCAATTCCAGTAACAAGAAATAAAATTCAACAAAATTTTAGAGAGAACACTCTACATGAAAAGTCTTGAGTACAGATAAGGGAACACATTTAAGTTTACAGAAGACAAATACTTTCAAGAATAAGAAAACTGATGAAAGCAACATAAATAATTCCGGGATTTCACATAAATACTGAAAAACTTAACAGCAATTAGGGGCTGTTCATTATTGTTTTTACATTTAAAAATTAAAAACCCTTCTGATTGTATTTTAGAAAACAAAATTTGGAAAAGGCAAAATCCATTTTCCATAATTGCAAATTGTTTTCTAGTGATAAAGGGTTGGTATCTCTGATAATAGTTGCAATTTACACTCAAATATCTCTCCTTGTGTATTAGTTCTGTCTATTTTCTAGAATTCAAATATTATTGTATTAGTATTTTGGAGAAGTGAAAGGAGTTTTGCGATTTTTCCAAATTCTTTCCTAAAAAACACTGAACATTTAAAGTCCTTGTAAAAGACAAGAATTAAAACCACCTCCGCCTAGGTTTTGTGAACTGTCTTCAAGTGGGACACTTGAAATTCTCTCTTGAATTCCTAGTCTGGATTTTGGGGTGCGAATATAATCAGGCTCATCATGTTGACCACGATACACAACAGTTCCACTGGTAGAAGCATCTTCAAAAGCAGAATACATGCTGCTAGACTACACAATAAATAATATTCTAAATTTAATGAAATGGCTACAACAGCCAAAAGACTGGACTAAAATTAACTAAATCTCATATTAACAGGACAAGAACTATACTAGACTACTTCAATCATGGAAGATACCAGATGATTGAGATTTTTTTGGACTTCTCATAACAGCGGTTCCTGAGCCACTCGCCTCATCCTGGAAATTGAGCACTTCAAACAACTCTTAGTGATAGAAGCAGAAATTCCGTGTATTAATATATCATACTACTATAACATACATTGATGATAACTCAATTCAGATAATTTCTGAAACAAGTGCCAAAAATAACAACCACAATCAAAACATTCCAAGAAAACAAATCTCTCTCACACACTTTTCCCAAACACATACCACGCATGACCCAAATCACCAAACCTCGCCAAACATACTCAAGAAGGCATTACCAAGCCTAACACTAACAGAAATATTCAGTTCTTGCATTGAATCGAGGTATTTTAAAGAATCAGCTAAGGACCCATTAAGGCAAAGTTCATTTAAACGTGAGATGGGACTTTAAATTTATATAAATCAAAAACTGAATTTGCTAAAGTACCATACAATTCAAAAACAGAGTTAACATAAAGTTTACCAATTGAGTATTTTTCTTCAAAGCTCTCTTGAGTTCACTGTGAAAGCAAGAAGAAATATAAGGAGAAGAAGAGGCGAACGGATGGAGAAGTCCAGATTTCAGCCGTCAAATGAAGAAAACAAGGCGAATGGGGTGGAGAAGTCAAGGAATTTAGGCAGAAATTGGAGAAGAAGAGGCGGACAGAGTGGAGAAGTGGAGAGAAATGGCGTCGTCGGCGGTGGGGTTTTTGTGGTTTGGGGATTTTGTGTAGAAAGTGACGACGGACTGTAGTTAATTAGAGTGTTTCATTTGTTTTTTTGTTTTTATTTTAAGGGTTCAAACAATTTGAATTTTGGGCAAAATTGTTTTAATTAATTAATTAATTTTTTTTTAAAACCGGGTTTGGGGTTTTGAGTTTCTTTAATTTTAGATTTAGGGACTTTTTAATTAATTTTTTTTTTTAATTTCAAGGCAAAATTGTTTACTTTTTAATTTTTTTTAATAAAATCAGAAATTCGGTTTTCTGTATTTCTATGGACCAAAACCAAACGGGTTTCCCGAATAACCGGAAAACTAATTCGGTTCCCGTTTCGGTTCCGTTTCTACATTTTTCTAAACACTCTTACATTTGGGTGTTGGGGATACACCTTGCCAAGAACTCACCAAAGTTAACAATCTCCGTCAATATAGGCACAGAGTAAGCGCCAGAGTCAGTGAGCCAGTCTTCGTCTACTGAACAAGAGTGGTAAAAACGAAAGCTTTTTTTCCAGTGCCAGAAATAGGTTGACTATGAAGGTTTGTACAAATGAGTGAAATAGAGGATATGCATAAGTTTTAGAGAAAAAAATGTGGGAATAGTTAATGAAAAATGGGCGGCAAAAAAAGGGCAGGAAAAGTTTAAGACAATTTTTTTTGGTTTTTTATAAACTTAATCCTTGACAGTTAAAAACTATCAAAGATTAAGAATGCAACAGTCAAGAACAAGATTCACAAAATTTATTTTTAATCAATTCTTTGATAGTTAATAACTGTCAAGAATCATCCAAAATGGTCAAAGTTTATTTCAAATTCTTGACAGTTCATAAATTGTCAAGAATTTGTCAAGAATTACAATTCTTGACAGTCTTTTAGAATGATCAAGAAAATTTTTCAACTCATTCTATCAAGAAATGGGGGTTTTCTAGTAGTGATGTTAGAAAGCTACTGGTACAATCCATGAATCAATTGACTCACTATTGAATCTGTTATGACCTATTTACAAAACTACAGCAAATTAACATGCAATATATTTGATTGTTTGTAAATAGAATGAAACCCCATGCTATAGAAGTCCAAAAACTTACGTAAACCCACTGACGTGATCCTCACGCATGCAGCGACATGTGGGATTTTGCAGCGCTAAAAAATAAGCACCGTAGTGAAAATGGGAGCAATTTCCTTGGAGGAAAATTGCAGGCTGCCCAAAACAGGACAGTTGCGTGTAGAAACGCACAACGGGTCAAACACTGGTGTGAAAACATAACGTCCAGTTCAAGGTTATATGTATAAACACATAGCCAATAAGGTTGGGTCGTTTGCAACAACTTTTGGCCCAAGGCAGCCATCGTACATAGTAACGTTATAGTGAAAATGACGACAATCCTACATTATCAACATGGGCTATTGGGACAGTGGTTGTGTGCCTTAGCACACAGCCTTTGTATGCCCTGATGGGCGTTGACCAAGGCCGTGTGTTGAAACATGTGACCAACTCTTCCATCATGCATGTGTGTGTAACACATAGCAACCGCACATTGGCGCTCGCATGGTTGGCACAGTAGCGCAAGCTTGCACGCTGCTTTGCACCAAGGGGCAACAACAACGTGCACGCTGCTACTACTTCTGTCATGGTGCAGCGATGCACCATTACCCATAATAGCCAACATCACCACACACGATGGTGCATCTGGGGTTTCAATAACTTTCCGATTTCAACAAAAATCAGATCATACACAACAAATTTAAGTTTCCCATCAACACAACAAAATCAATTTTAATCCAATTAATCCAAAAAAAAAAAAATTAATCAAATTAATACCCAAATCATGTAATCAACAGATCACACCATTTCAAGCAAAAATTAAACAACCTAATATGATATAAAAGGCTCTGATACCACTGTTAGGGGAAAACAAAAATTTATCGATTAATGTTAGAGTAGGTGCCCTAAAGCCAATCAATTATTGTAGTATTGACTCTTTGTAAGAATGTTTATTTATCAATAAAAGGTTTTTTCTTCTATATCATGTAATTCATAATTGTATGTATTAATATATGTTCCTAGGATAGTAGAACCGTGATGAGGGTATCAAGTATTTCAAATCTTGATAGTGAGAACCCTATGATTACATATGGTGGCCATTCTAGAAATGTCTATAGCCCGATTATTATTTTGAGTAAGAACACAGATAATACGGTAAGGCTATCATAGTGTTGGATGACTCTATCGTAAGACAGTGACTGATCTCACTTGTCAATGTTGTTTGCCGACAACCTAGTGGAACACATGGGTGCTTTCCATAGGTGAGTTCACCGAACAGACCCACGAGAGGAGTCCACATAGATGGTAAACCTAGTGTTTGTGGAATAAATCCTCTGATGGATGGTGGTACATGTGATCTTTGGACTTGAGATCACTAGAGCGCTTTGTGCACTAATTGGTGTGGTTTGACACTAGCCCAACGTAGTTCTACTCAGAACTATCAGAACAATAGTGATTGGGTACATCGAGAAGCATATCAAGACTATGGTGGATCGACAGAGGATTCATCACTCCCAACTACGAGAGAAATTATCTCACTAAGTAATTAGGTAGATGGCAACGACATTAAATCTGTGGTCACAATGGGATTAAGTTGTAGCTCAATCCAATCTATTCTGGTTGTTGGTCCAATAACCGAATACCGAGATATCAAAGATATATGAGATTGACACTACTTATGTGCCTCAGCCTGAATGAGATAATAGATGATGAAATGATTGAATTGCACGGTAACCATATCGTTGATAGGTAGTGGTTTCGCTGAATCCAAATCTATCTGGTGGCCATGATGCTTGACTAGAGACCAATCTTGGTCTATGTCTAGTGGGATGATTGATTGATTGTCAATCGCGATGCCATTCATTGCCGATATGATGAGGAGCCTTCAGGTTTCACACATAGAAGACAAATTAAGAATAAGATTCATGAGAGGGGCATTTTTGTCATTTATGATAAAAGGTTATTTTCATCTTTTAAGATGAAATGGCATTTTGGTTATCTCATAGTGCAATTAAATATATATATATTTAATATAATGCATATTATTTAATATTAATATTGATAATGTCAAATTCAAATTTGATTTTAAATTTGAATTGAAATGCCTTTTTTGGTAACAAAGGGAATCTATTCCAATTAGCAAAAAGTTTTTAGCTATTCCAAGTTGGAATAGATGGCTATTCCAAGTTGGAATAGGGTTTTAGTGTGAACTATTTAAGTGCAACTAAAATTAAAGGAATGATAGAATTCATAAGTTGCAAAAATTGAAAACCCAAGTCACCTCTCTCTCTCAAAACCGTGAGCCTCTATTTGTGAGAAAAGAATTTTTCTCTCAAAGAAAAATTATGCTGAAATTTAATTTCCGCTGCGTTTACTAGATCCGTTAGCCTACAATTAAAACCTAAAGCCCAAAAACCTTATAAGAGATAATACATTGTTTACATGCTTAAGAATAATAAAACCCATTCAAGTTTTCAATTTCATACCCACGTTGATGGCTCCTTCAATCGATCGTTGAAAACGCTCCCACTTCAAGATCAGAAGTGAACTCACGAAAATCCACACAAAGGCAAGACTCCACACACGATCAATTTGCTAGAGTGATCTTTGTCGTTTAAAGAAGAAAAAAGGCTTATGAAAAATCTAAGAGAATTTTCTCTCTACACTTTTAGCTTGAGAGGCAAGAATGAGCTAATTTGGGAAATGGGGATAAGGCCCCTTTTTAAAGGAAAACCCTAATCCTAGAGCCCCTTGGATATTACTTGGATACCCCCACTAATATCTAATTTAGTTTAGACTTTACTTAATGTCCAAGAAAAGTCGGTTTGGTATTTTATTATTATTGCCTTAATTATACAATAATAATTCACTATTTAAACTACATATACACCGATATATTAATTTAAATAATGATTATTTATTCATACACCAATATATATATGTTTGAATCAATATTTAATCTTTCAAATTAAATCCAATATGGAATTGGTTCTAGGCAACAACCTTTCCAGCAAATTTAATTGCTCCATAAGATTTACCAAAATACCCCTTTATCCGTAAAAGACAAAAATACCCCTTACTTGTTATCTTCTTTAAAATGCCTTTTAAGTATGTGATCCGTAGGCTCCTTATCATATCGGTAGTGAGTAATATCGCGATCAACACCCTATTAATCATCTCATTACGCACAGACCAAGATTGGCCTCTTGCAAGGCATTATAGCCATGTGACAGATTCAAATTCAGCGTATTCACTACCTGTCAACAGTATGGTTACCGTGCAATCCAATCCTTTCATCATCTATTATCTCATCAAGCTTTGAAGCATAGAAATGATGCCAACTTCAAGTGTAAGCTACCTTGATATATTTAGATTCGGTCGTTGGGCCAATCGACCAAATGAGCAACAACTCGATTCCACTGTGGACACAAATTTAAGATCGTTGTCTCTTACTGAATCTCTCACCGAGATAATTTCTCCTGTTCCTAGGAGTGATAAACCATTTGTCCATCCACCATAACCATAGTGTACTTCTCAATGTAGCCAATCACTTTTAGTGTTTTAATCAAAGATAAATGCATCGGAAAACAAAATTTGCCGATCAAAACCCTATAAGCCCTGAAATCCATATATGAGTATAACGATGTTCATATGCTACAAATCAATCAAGACCCATGAAAGATTCAGAAACTTACCAACATTTGGAGGCTCCACCTCTTTTTGAATTTCGAGGAAAACCGCTCACGATCAAAATGTAGGTTCAAACTAATGATATCCACACAAAGGCAAGATTCAACACAAAAGATTTACTTTGATAATTTGTGTAGTCTAAAGAAGATGAGTGAGTTAAAGGGTTGGGAGAAAAATTCTCTCAATGAACCTTTGCTCTCCACGACCAAGACAAGAGAGAATGAGAGATTATTTGATTTTTAGGGAAAATTGCCCTTTTATAGGGTTGCCCTAAAAACCCCTTGAAGGGTTATTTACCATAATGC